AAGTGGAAATGAATGAAAGAGAGATGAAATCTTTGAAAAATCTTTCAAAACACCTTGTTTAGAGGTTTGGAGTTGAGGAAAATTGGAGAAGAGGGAAAAAACCAAGTTGAAGAAGAAGGTGGACATGAATCGCTAAGAGAGAGTCGAGCGGTCCTCGCTAAATCGGGCTTATTCATTTGCATACTTGGATTTAAGATATGAGGCCACCACCGTTGGAAATATTAATTTTGGGGCTTCATTTTTCACTCAAGAATCTCCTAAAGCCAAGTCCGGGTGGGGGAGATATGGTTGGTTGAAGTAGGGCATCAATCCGGTTGGACCGAATCTGCGCGGCTTCACCAAAACTGGCATAACTGTTTGCACAGGAGGAATTTTAATGCAAGGTTTACGGCATTGGAAAGCTAACTTCTGGGGCTTCATCCTAAGGGGTGGCCGACCACCTTGACCCTTTTGACCTAGTCGGCCAGCTATCCTCTGTTTTGTCTCTCTGAGTGTGCTCCAGCTGTGCCAGCTGAGAGCCATTTGCAGCATCCTCCATACGTGTATAGAGGATCTTCAAAGTTTTTTTTAGCTTCCAAGAGAAGCTTTAGACCTCTTTGTCTATATAGGAGGGCCTCTCCCTCCTTTGTGCTGGTTCAAAAAATTGCTAGGGCTAAACAATATATCTCTCTTTATATCTCTCTCTTTTAAGCTCTAATTGCTTGGTTCTTGGCCCCTTTGCACCACCTCTCATATCCTAACACTTCCATCATCAACCTAAGGTCCTTGGAGGGTATTTTCAGAGGTTCAAGGTTGGTTTTTTGGGTTCAGAGGCTGCTGGTTTCTGCTGGTCTTCAAGGGTAACCACTTTTTCCCTTTTTGAGCATTATTTTTCTTCATTGTTTAGCCCTACTTGTGAGCATTTTTGAGATTTTTCATAAACTTAAAAAAGTTTCCTTTTGAGCTTATAAACATGTTTACTTAAGGTCACTTCTCTGTTTGGGGTCACCTTCCCCTTTGTATGCTTCATTCCCTCATGTTTAGGGCTATGCATTAGAGCATTTGCATTAGCCTTGGTTTGGACTTTTAGCCACTGAAATTCAGTGAATTTTTAGTGGCTTAGATGTGCCTTTGAGCCCTAAAATCAGAGGGGGGTGACCCCTTCTCTCCTTGTCTTGTCAGTTGGCCCTTTTGGCCTTCCAAAGGAGCTCCATTTTGCATGTTGCGAAGTCACATTTCAGGCCCTATTTGGTAAGTTTTAAGGTCTGCCTTGATTCTATTTGGAGCCCTGTTGCCCATATTTTGTGTCTATAATGCATGTGTAGAACAATTCCATTCAAGGCCTTTCAAAGGGGCCTTTCATGGCATGCTTCATTAACCCATTTCAGGGCCTTTTTGGTGAGTTTTAAGGCTGTCATAACTTATTTCCAGAAGTGGTTTTTCCCTTTTGTTTGTCTACCATGTATGTGTAGAACAACCCCTCACATGGCTTTCCAAAGGGGCTCATCATTCTTGCATGTGTTGACTGAGTTTCAGTGGTTATTTGGGCATATTTTGGCATGAAATACTTCTATTTTTGGCTAGTTGGGTGAGCCCTCATATGCTTCATATAGTTGTAGAACAACTCATGGTTCATTAGCTTTCTTTGCATGCTTTATAGGCCATTGATTCTAGCATATTTTGGCCATGCCTTAGATTGATAATGTGCTTATTTTGGACTGCCCTAGCTTTGTTTTTGGGTCTTGTGGTTGAACGATGTTAGTTTTGCATGCTTGTAGTTCAAGGTCCATGCTTAGCTTTGAGTTTTGAGATCCATTCCATACATATACTGAGGTGCGTTCATGTTTTAAGCCTATTATTCATCACATTTCAGAGCTTGTTTGAATGCCATGTTGCCATGTTTTCATCTCTTTAAATGCGTTTGAGAGTCGGGCTTGTATACCCCATTTACCGACCATTGAATGAGCTCCATTTTGTTGCATTCCGAGTCATCATTTTAGGTCAATTTCCCACTGTTTCAGACTTACCTAGGGTCTTTTTGGGGTTGGTTTTACCTTTGGTGCATTGCTTTGGGTACCTCTAGTGTAACGCACTTCACTAGTTTCGGTACCCGGGCCCCCTAGCTTGCATTGTGTGCCATATTTGCATGTTTCGGGACCATATTTCATGCTGTTTTAGAGCTGTAATTTATGCTATTCCATGTCATGTTTCATCCCTTGCCATGCTTTGGTAGAGTGACATTTGATGCCTTAGGATCGGTCCCTTGCATCGCGCATGTTTGCATGTGTTTCGGTTGTCTCATTTCCATCATATGGCCACTGATTTGAGTGTGGCTGAGGTCCACTCATATTGGTTTAAGTCCACCTTGCATTGTGTATGCCATGTTGCAATGTGTTGTGCATGTTATGTTGTTAGCATTATGTATGCCATGTCATTTCTCGCATTGTGTATGCTAGGTTGTTAGTAGCATTGAGTATGCCATAGGTTGTTAGTCGCATTTAGTTCATTAGCATTATGCATGCCATGTAGTGTTAGCATTGTATATGCTAGGTGCATGTTTGCATTTTCAGCCCTTGCATGTTTGCGTCATTCAGTGGCATTGCATCTAGGATTGCATGTTAGAATTGCATTCATGCATATCATGCATATTGCATTGTGTTTGGAGTAGGGTTTAGTCCAAACACGGGAAACGAGAGACGTTTCGTACTTCAAGTGACGCAACGTGCCTCGATTCCCGGTCGCCGATACTCCGGATTATCCATGATGGAGTTTAGGCCTTGTTGCGTTCATATGTGCATTCATTTCACATCGAGTCGTGCAATTCGATTCCTCGGCCATCATGCATCGAGATGCGTGATTGGTGGCACGAGGATCAAGGACCACACTCCCTGGAGCTTATGCAATGACGAGGAGAGTGGTCGTGCACACATGTGTCGCAAATGCCTTGCTTTCTCTTTCTCTTGCCTTTGTTGCAGAAAAACCAGAAACTGGAGGCAGGAACTGGTCAGCCGACCAGCTTTTCTGGCAGGCCGACCACCCCTTTTGGTTTTTCCCACATAAACTAGTCGATGGGTGGTCTCCAAGCCCAATAGCTGGTCAGTGGCCCTCCCACAGCTTCCCAGAGTGGAGTTTCAGCCTTCTGGAGCTTTGTGCAAGTTTTTGAAATCAATTGCAAACAAAGGCGAGGTGAGGCATCGCGATGGAATTTACCGACAAGGCGACTCGAGCATGCATACACCCTTTGCCATCCGAAACAGAGCTGAGGCAGTCCATTGTATTTAGTTTGCATGCTAGTTTACTCTGCTTACCTAGTTTATTTGTTAAGTAATTAGTGTTGTGTAGTAATTCGTTATTTATTTTGGTTGTGTAATATTCATTCGGACCCTCCGAGTGAGGGCACAATTGTAATAAGTGTGCGTGTGTGTGATGTATGTCTTCCAACCTCACGTCTTTCTCTCTTTTATTTACCAGCTTATGATGGTCAGTTTAGGGCACATTTCAATTAGCATACTTATGATAGCATGTTTGCATTCATTCATCTGTCTTGCATACACCGGGCTCGGTGCATCATACTAACTGCATTGTATTTCAATTCCGAGTTGAATACGTGTGTCAGTTGCTGCATTTCATATGCCATTGTAGAATAGCCGACCTATTTTAGTTGCATTTTGTATGTGTTGCATTAGGCATTTCTGTATAGCTAGGATCATGCATGGATTTCTAACATAGCTTTTGTTTTGGCTTGGAGTATTTGGTAAGTTTTATGCTTTAGCATCCTTGCATGCGTGTGAGTGACTGCCATGATAGCATGCTTACCATGAGGCTAACTACTTATGTGATATAACTGCCTGAATGCCTGTGGGTGAAGGTTGGATTATCTAAATTGGAATAATGCATTGACTGCGAGTTAAAGCCCACTTGAGAGTGGCAAATCATCATGTCTTCTAAGCCCACCTGAGGGTGGCAAAATCTGCATTTTAAGCCTACTTGCGAGTAGCGAACCGCTTTCAAAAACAAACATGAAATGTTTTGTTCCAATTCAGGCGATCCAATCTATACTTGAATGCTGTGTGCATCACATAGTAAATCTAGGCTAATACCCGGAATAAGAACGTATAATGTTTTCAAAACTAGATATCATGGTTAGTAGAGGCCGATCTTTGATCGGGTGAGCGGGGGTGCTCACGAAGTGACCTTCCCCAATCGTACCCAAGTTCCCGAGCCGAGGCAACTTTGGTGATGACGGACACGTGGCCTTAGGCAAACGAGTCAAGGTTTCCTAAATTCCCCAAATAAAATATTTAGGTGGCGACTCTGTATCTGGCAAAGCAGTCCATGTTTGGCACTTCTTTCAAAAAAAAAAAAATTTGTTTTCAAAAAACGATTTGCCGGATCTGGACTCTTTGATGATTCATCGGTCTTGCATTGCACTCTGCGAGATTAGGTACAGGACCGTGACTTTTGAGTCCGAACTGTAGTGAGCCCAAATGAACAAAACGGAGGGGGATTCCCTCCCGGGACGTTCGGGGACGTCTACAGTTTCCTACAAAACAAAAACATTAATGGGTGTTTGGGAGTAGTTAGATTGGGTGTATGCCTAACATTTGGCATAAATGCACAAAGTTTTTGTCCTCAGACTTGAACCCATAACCTCAAGGTTAGTAGGCCAAGGTAAAAACCACCGGACTAAACCAGTGGTTACCCCAATTTTGAGTTGTTCCCACCAAAATGCAATTTTCTCGAAATTAAATATCAGAAACTAGCACTCGTTATTTTATGCATGACTCATATTTGACTATTCATATTGCCATTGGTAGGTTGCTTGAAAAATGCCACATCTAGTTATGTAAAGTGATGATTGTAAAACCATGGGAGCTTCAATTGGCAATTTAATCCTCAAAAAGTAGGTTTAACAAGAGAAATGCAGCAGAAAATATTTCTATTAACTACTAGTTGTCTTTTTGTGTGGGGGGGAGGGGAAACCAAACAAAACAACAAAAAAAAGAAAGAATGATAGAAGATGAATAAAGCACTTTTAGAGTAAATTACCTCCTTATAGAACATTACACCCTAGTTTAACTGCTTGATTTTAGAAACAGAGTGTACAAAGAGCGTAACAAAAAAAATTTGAATCCGTATGACTAGTAGGAGAAAAGAACCAAGATAGAAAAAATTAAATTAAATTAAAAATGAAAAGGATGAGGATGAGGAAAACAAGGCACATACTATTACATTAGATATGGATGCCTAGAGCTAATTAAAGTCATATATATGATAAATAGATGTTACTTTAATTAACTCAGGTTGAGGGAGCACCTTGTCAATGATGCTCTCTATAACATCTTCTGAAAGGTTCATACCAGATTCTGCAAGAGTTACCACTACCATTTGCTTCACTTACATTTCGGAAGTCGATTAAAAATCTAAAACACTGAAAAAAATATGACAGATATTAAAGACAAATAACATGAACTATACTGTGTCACATCTTTCTTATTGAAGGCTAAATCTACGACAAGGGAACAAAGAGGAAAATCATTAAACCAAATGCCTTAACATCTAGTATTCAACCATAGTATGCCCAACACCGAAGTATATTGGCGAACTATAATTCATTTCCATTGGCTTAGCTCAAACAAGAATTGCTCTAGCGCAAAATCACTCACATGAGAGTGACGTATGTTTATTCTATGTCACTCAAATTATTGGCCAACATAAAAAGTCGACACCCACTAGGTCCATAATGGTCTGATGCCTTCTCTGAATTATTTTCCTCTTGTACACCTTTTCTATTTCATTTAATCTTTTGTTGCAAAGTAAACTTTCAACAAAACAACTAGTAAAAATACAACGATCATTTTATCCATTCAACCTACAGTTCCTACATTGTTTTTAAGGTTCCAACCCAATAATAAAGAAATACAGCTTAGAAGAACGTTTGAGAATATGTTCCCACCCAACAATGGTAGTTCATATTTTGGCTTTATAGTTTCTTACCTTGGTTGATATTTTTCTGTGTACGTATTGTCCCTATGTGAATTGTGCTCCATGGAAAAAAAACACATTGTGTCTTAGCACATGGAAAAGTTACTGAAACTTAAACAGCAAAACAAACTTTTTTCTGCAATGCCTCTCAAGTCAAGTCACGGTTTATGGATTTTTCATGGGATAAGATATTGGTATCTATTAGCAATTTATATAATTCACTAGACCAAATAAGAAAACAATATAGTAGATTTCAGTGATCATAGAGTATTAATTAAGACCAGTGAAAAACAGAAAAGTGAAAATAATGGAAGCCATCACAGCCTATGGAAAGTCCAAATTTAATTAATTTAGGTCTCAAAACAGTTCATGAAAATGCAAGTAGTTACCTCTTGCCTCTCAATAAAACCTTGCTGCTTGAGATCGTACAATTGAAACGAAACTGCAACACAAAATTATTAGTGTAATGAAAATGCAAACTAGAAATTTCAGACTAAATGAACTACAACAAAAAATTCCCATCATCATAGCAATATTGTAGAGCATTCTAGCATACACTCAATCTTATCATCGATAGGCGCATTCGGATGAAATACAGAGAGTGCGCGGACAAATTCTTCAAAGCCTAGGATGCCATTATGTTTTGTGTCAAACAAGTCAAATACCTGAAATTATTAAAAAAATTAGGATGAGAATAGCTTTAGAAGATTTAGCATACTTGTTCTGAAGCATCTAAAAACTATATATCAACACGATGATGAGTGATTCCAACGTAATTCACTTTCAACATAGAAATACACAAATATTTCTATATTCCTAGTCTGCAGCTTTTAAAACAGGCACAAACACACAAATAAACATGCATCTATACATGACTGTGCTTATACCTACATATATAATATGCATGCTTTTGTTTTTTTTATCACTAACAAAGTCTGTGTATGGAAAAGTTCATAATTCATGGTGCTCTAAAAAATACTGAAGAATAACTCTCTCTTTTGTGTATAACAAACAAACCTTTGATGTACTCTCTTTAAATCATGAGTTGAAGACTCAATAAAAACATCAAAGGAAACAAACAAAATATCCCCAGATATAAACCTTAAGAACCAAAAAGAAGATCTGGAGGACTTCAATCAATCACTTAGTTTTGGGAGAAAACCAAGTATTTATAGAGAACCAAAAGTAATCCAAGATTCAGAAGAAAACCAACTCTTTAAACAAATCTGGAAATCTGGATCCGCGATCTCCGCTCGAGCTCACCACAGCCCGCTCGAGCGGACTGACCAAAAACTGCGTGAGAACAAACTGAGATGCGCTCGAGCGTAGGATAATCCGCTCGAGCGTAAAATCACACATTCCAGTATTTTTACAGGCGACTGCAGAGATGCTGAGAGCTTCCAATCTCCGCTCGAGCGCCCGTTTCTCCGCTCGAGCGGGAAGGTCAAAAATGGAAAAACTGGAAAAAAAATAACATGCTCGGACAGGCCACTTTGAATGCATTTTTGCATTTTGCTTCGCATGCAATTTTGAATGCAATTTTGCATTTTGCTTCAGCTCGACCCCCGTAATAATCAGCGAAGTGGCAATCTCGAAAGCATTAACATCACAAACTTCTCTGAACGTCACAATTCGGATTGGATTCGCATCTAATAAACTCATAGCCTCACTAAAATAAAAAAGAGCGAATAAAATTATAACTCAAAGGAATTTTGTCAAACGGGGTTGCCAAGAATAAAAACCTAACATCAACTATAACAAAAATTCCCACCATCATAGCAATATTGTAGAGCATTCTAGCATACACTCAATCTTATCATCAATAGGGGCATTCGGATGAAATACAGAGAGTGCGCGGGCAAATTCTTCAAAGCCTAGGATGCCATTATGTTTTGTGTCAAACAAGTCAAATACCTGAAATTATTAAAAAATTAGGATGAGAATAGCTTTAGAAGATTTAGCATATTTGTTTTGAAGCATCTATAAACTATATATCAACATAATGATGAGTGATTCCAACATAATTCACTTTCAACACAGAAATACACAAATATTTCTATATTCCTAGTCTGCAGCTTTTAAAATAGGCACAAACACACAAATAAACATGCATCTATATATGACTGTGCTTATACCTACATATATAATATGCATGCTTTTGTTTTTTTTATCACTAACAAAGTCTGTGTATGGAAAAGTTCATAATTCATGGTGCTCTAAAAAATGCAGTGCAAGAAAAAGAACACATGAAAACTAGTTTAAGAGAATGTCTAGTTGAGGTGAGCATTAACAAGAGCAACAAGAATAATAGTAGTCAAAAATAAAATACCCGATCAGCAAACAGGCTCTCTTTTTTGTTCGTCTTAAATAACGCCAATTGAAACTCTTCCTGCAATATTATATAGAAAGAAAGCATTCAAGAAACAAGAGTTAGATTGTGGAGAGGTAACAACACATTGACACTAGAAAATATAAAGAATAGCATCAAATTCATGGTTATTAAGAGCAGTACTACAATAGCATATCATCTTAACATGTTAAAACATGCAACAATAATTTTCCACAAAGATATAGACGAACCTTGTTGATTAAACTGTCATCAATTACTGCACTACTAATCTTCTTAAATAGTTCATAAAGAGCCTCTATTTCACTTACGCTAACTGCATCCAATCCAAGTAGAAAAATCACAATCTTCATGAGCAGAGTTTGGTTGCTTTTCATTATAGGAAATAAAAAGACAAATAATTAGAATCACGAGTGCATTACAAAGCTAGTTGAATCAGACAACAAGTGTACTAACTACCATCATTTCTTTTTGTTTTGAAAATTTTACTTTTGATAGGTATAGGTGGACAATATGTTGACCATCACAGGGCGTTGAGTTGCGTAAGGGCAAGTAGGAAAAAGGGCAATGTTGATGTACATTATTTGCGGTTGGATACTAGGGCA